ATAAACGAATATTATCTTAGTGCTGACAAAAATGCCTTATCCTATCACTGTTCATGATAAATACTACAAATCATCTTATTGTCATATTGTTAGTCTAATTAGTCTCAATGACAGTGACATTCAGCAATTTTTTCTTCTCTTTTCTTTTTGTCTTTGAATAATTCGTTTCACTTCAATTCTTACATCTGATTTGCTATTTACATTAGGATAAAATAAAAAGAAAACAAAAAAAACAAAGAAAAAAAAAGAAAAATACTGAGTTTTAAACAGTTATTCGTACTGAATGGATATATATGACACTTCGTACATTTCATCCTTAAATACTAAATGAGAGGATAGGATGTGACAAAGAAGATATCCTTTTTATTTTATTTGAAAGATAGGTAGATGCATTTAGGTTTTTTCATCTGTTATCTTCAAGTTAACATGAGGCATCTTATCGGTGAAAGGCATCACCATATCTTCTTGTACTCTTTGAAATCATTCAAAAGAATTGAAGGAAAAAGGAAAACGAAACAAAAAAGAGGATCAAAAAAAAGTGCAAACAATGGTTGCTCGTTCTATTAAAAGTAGATATTTGTGTTTTGTCCCTTTGACCTGGTTCAAATAAGAGAAACTATTGATATTAAACAAAAATTTCATGTTAACTCTTGTCACTTATCACTTTTGAATAGTTTTTATACCAATGCATTAATTTAATTCTATTTCTCAATTTTAATTGATCAGCAGTTTGGTCAGTGATGTATCACCAAATTAATTAATCCTAATTGTAGCATATTCATCTTCTGTTAATTCAAATGATTAATTAAAAAATGATAGCTTACTTCTTATAATCCATTAGTTTGTTGGTTTATTTAGTAATATAACATTTAGTTTAATTGTTCACTAATTAATCTGAAATGATGGCAATTCAATTTAAGTCGATGTTAATAATAATAAATGATAATATAGTAATAATAATAATAATAATAATAATAATAATAATAATAATAATAAATAATAATAATAATAATAATAATAATAATAATAATAATAATAATAATATAAATAATAATAATAATAATAATAATAATAATAATAATAATAATAATAATAATAATAATAATAATAATAAATGATAATAAATGATGACAACAAACAAAAAAAGTTTTGTATTTATCGGTCGAGCTTAATTAACAGAATATTATGTTCATATATCACCAACCATCAAGTAATACATTTTCATATGAAATCATTTAATCCTAAATGTATTTTGCTTTTTTTCGAGAACTGAATTATATTGTTTTTTATTTAGAACTATTTATAATTATATTATTTTGTTTACATTATATGTTTTTAGAATTGTATAGTATATTATTGTTTCGTTTTACTTTGTTTATTTTGTTGCATCCACGAATTTCAAATTTAATTATAAATGAAATCTTTATTTTGAAATGATTTATTAAGACCAATTGTATTTTTAATGATATTAAAAAAAAAAAATTGATTTTAACAATTTACACATTCTCTAATTTGGTCATATTTATTTACTTATTTATAATTAGAAAATTAATGATAACAAAAATTTCTTTTTTTTACTATTTTTTTGATAAATTATTTTTTGTTTTGTATTATTTTTTTATTTAAATTAATTAATTTTACGATGAGAACTAAAAGTTCACATTCCATTACAATGATCGAATTTTTTGTTTTTCCTTTTCCATTTCAAAGAAATTTTATTATTATTGGAAAATTACTTGGCATTCTTAAGATGATGAATTTTTATGATTATTATTCTTCATTTCCATTTAAATTTTTTGTAGAAAAAAATCTATCAAATTAAAAAGATAAACTGAAAATCACAATTATCACAAACTTATGATGCACAAAATGAACTTCGCCTATTTGAATTTAATTTTATTTAAAATGAATATTGTTTTTCTGATTATATAATAGATTTTTTGCTACTTTTAATATTACCAATTCTTTTTTCTTTATAATTTTGCAGAAATTTCTCATTTTAGGAAACCTTTTTTAATTTTAGGATAATCAAACTGTCAATGATTTTTTATAATGTAGGAAAAATAAGCTTAAATCATTGTAATAAATTAAAATAACAAAGTAAAATTTTTTTAATAGACCTTTTTTTTTAAAATAAGTTTATTGTGACAATTTTTAGTAGAATATTTTGTAATAAAACCGGTGCAATTTAAAATTGAAATTTAAAAAAAAAAAATTTTAAAAAGTAGAGAAAAATAGATGCCCTTATTTTACTCCTTGCCGATTACTTTGAAACCTCGAAAATATTCGAAACAATAGGAGGTCATCACTAAACAGTAAACAGTTAAAGAGGAAATTTCATCGAAATGCATTTTTCTTCCTTTCTTTTTTTTTTCCTTTCTTTTTTTTAATTAAAAAAGAATTGCGCTTTTTGCGCCTCATTCTTTCTCGAATTTGTTATTCCATCAAAAAGAATGCATATTATACTCTTTTTTTTTGCAAATTTACTATCAATGTAATTCATCATTGATGACTTATCAGGAAATATCGTTAAATTTTCTGATTGAATTTTGTAAAAGAGAAAATAGGAAGAAAAAGAAAAAAGAATGAATAAATTAAATTAGTTTCCAGTTTTTTAATATTTTACTTTGATGAGGTCATTTGATAACAAAGAATTAAACTGAGGAAAATGAGGAAAAGGACGACATTGAAGATTGATATTATATTTAAATTGGTAATTTAAAGGAAATAAAAAAAGAGAGAGAGAGAGAAATTTGTACTTTTATAAGGAACGAAAGAAAAAAATGCAAAAAAGGAACAAAAAAAATAGCAAAAAGGTGAGATGAAAATTTTGCTTTTGCTAATTTACAAATAATAATTTTTTTAATATAAACAATAACAATAACAATAAAGAAAACAATAACAGCAGCAATGACATAAAATTTACTTTTTTCAAACTTTCAAATTAGTTGAAACTGACCAATAATAAAAATCATTTAATGTTTTTTTATAAACGATATTAATTTGGGAGAGAGAGAGAGAGAATAAAATGAAAATGAAGAAAAAAGAAAAGTTTTAGGATTGATGGAAAAAGTTGCAAAGAGAAAGTGCTGTAAGAATTTTAATGATAATTAATTGATAAGGGTAAAGTGATTAGATAATAAATTCGAAATATGTAATTGAAATTAAATTGGAATGATTTTTTCGGAAAACAAAAGTTTCATTTAGAAAAGCAAAAATGAAGCAAAAAAAAAAAATAAAAAAGTGGAAAAAGAAATGGAAAATGAAAGAAATTGAAGTGAAATTAGCATGCAAAACTAATTCTGTAATGCTAGAAATCAAAATCACTTATTATATTTTAAATTGTTTTAATTTATAAAAATTTCAGAATTAAAATTACTACCTTCACTGATATTACTGATATTTCATTTATAATTTATTAAATTTCAAAAGCATAAATTAATTTGCTTTTTGCTTTTGTTTGTTTGCTTTTTTATTGTTAAAATTTTTGAATAGAAATGAAAGAAGCATTTAAACTTGCAGAATTTCATTTTTAGCAGCTAATGCATTAAGTTTGTTTCGATTGTAATATCAAATTTTTGACACTGTTTTAATACTGAAAGGTATGTGTAAATTTTTAGAAATAAATTTAATTTCTTTTTAAAAATTTTAAAATTATACCTTCATTTCTCTCTTTTTTTATTTTCTAATTAAAAAAAATTTTTTTTTTTAACAATTTTAAAATTATAGAATTCATTTCTGTCTTTTTTATTTTCTAATTAAACATGTTTCTTCCTCTGATGTCCAATTCCTACTTTATTTCATCCAATTTTTTATTAAATATAAAGAGAAATTGTTTTTTATTTTTTATTTTAACATAAATTTGCAAAGATTTAAAACAAACATGAAAGATTTGATTGAACTTCAAAGATAAAATGATAATTAAAATGACAAAGTTTGTATGAATTTAAAAATATATAACAAATTTTAAAGCATAGAATAATTAACAAAAATGAAAAAAAAAAATTTTTTTTTTTCCTGTACATATATTATACATCACACATAAAATATTAAAATATATTCAAAATTTCCATTACGTATAAAAAGGTCAAAATGGATGTCACACTTTCATGAATCACGTGTGAAATATTAAAATAGATGTGTCATTTTTATGAGTCACGTGTGAAATATCAAAATATACATGTCATTTTTATGACTCAGTATAAAATATCAAAACATATATATGTCATTTTTATGACTCACGTATAAAATATCAAAATAGATGTGTCATTTTTATGACTCACGTATAAAATATCAAAATAGATGTGTCATTTTTATGACTCACGTATAAAATATCAAAATAGATGTGTCATTTTTATGAGTCATGTATAAAATATCAAAATAGATGTGTCATTTTTATGACTCACGTATAAAATATCAAAATAGATGTGTCATTTTTATGACTCACGTATAAAATATCAAAATAGATGTGTCATTTTTATGACTCACGTATAAAATATCAAAATAGATGTGTCATTTTTATGACTCACGTATAAAATATCAAAATAGATGTGTCATTTTTATGACTCACGTATAAAATATCAAAATAGATGTGTCATTTTTATGACTCACGTATAAAATATCAAAATAGATGTGTCATTTTTATGAGTCATGTATAAAATTCAAAATAGATGTGTCATTTTTATGACTCACGTATAAAATATCAAAATAGATGTGTCATTTTTATGACTCACGTATAAAATATCAAAATAGATGTGTCATTTTTATGACTCACGTATAAAATATCAAAATAGATGTGTCATTTTTATGAGTCACGTGTGAAATATCAAAATATATATATGTCATTTTTATGAGTCACGTGTGAAATATCAAAATATATATATGTCATTTTTATGACTCACGTATAAAATTCAAAATAGATGTGTCATTTTTGTGCCTAAGCATAAAAAAAAAAAAAGAAAGCAGAAAAATTAAATAGACATCTATAATAATTCCATTTGTCATGCATAAAATGTTAAAACAGGTGTCTGATTCCCACGTATCATTAAAACAGGTGGTAGATCACGTGTGATTAAATCTAACCACGCCATATATAAGCTGCTACTAATTTCCAAACGTGGTACCGGTAATGTTCTAAAATAAATTAATTCTTTTATTTTGTATACTACTTATTTCATTAAATTAAAATAAGAAATTTTGTGAAATTGTTTAAAAATTATGAGAAATGGTGAAATAAATTTCAGAAAAAAAAAATTTTCTGTAATTATTTATTGAATATATATTTTAATTTTAATACTTTTCTTGTTTTTGTTTTTTTCTTGCCATTATTTCTTCTTTAATTGTTGTTGTTTAACTAATATAGAATTAAAATGACTTCATATAAGATATTAAAGATAATTAAAATAAAAAATAAGCATGATGATTCATATATTATGCTTAGATCTCGAACTGATGAATAAACAATTGTTAGCTAATTTAATTAATAGCTTTCAATTTTAATGAAATTTGAAATATAAATGAAAAATACATGACAATAAGGTCAGCTTGACGTGAATGATGCTGTAAAAGTTCTCTAATATACAATTGCCGATTTGTACGCATTTTTTGTGCTGCTAATTCGCAATCCGAAATTAACCCATTTCGCTTGTCACTATCGGTAACTCTCATTGATGCTATGATTGCTTCAAAATGATTTAACCTAAAATGAATGAATGAACTAGAAGTTATATTTTTAATATTCTTTTATCAAATAATTACAATAAAAGTTTTTTATTTAGCATCAAATAAAAAAAATTATAACATACATGACAGGACGTGGTTCTGAGGTAATATCTGTAATTACACGTACGTCTGTAAATGGAATACGAAATTTGCTTAATAAAGAAGCTAATTTTTTTTTATCAGTTTTTGCGCAAGTTGTAAACGTAAATATGTAAAGTTCAGCATCCTGAAATAATTACATGCATTATAATGGTAAAATTTTGAATCAAATATTCAATTATTATTTTGCAAACAGAATGAAAGTTATTTCTAAATAAAAACAAATGAACAAATAATAGTATTAATCTTATAGTAAACAATATAATATTTTCCTATTGTTTTATGTTAATGCAAACAATTAATGTTGTGGTCTTTAAGTAAACAGACAAAGTGATATTGATTTTATAATAAGCGATATAACATTGTTTTATTGTTTCATATTCACAAATATTTTACATTGTTTTGCTTAAAACAAATAGGTGGTATTAGTTTCAAAATAAACAATGTTAATGTTTCATATTCATATAAACAATAAATGCTATTGTCTAAAAATAACTGGTAAAAAATAAGTAAAAAAAAGTATTAATTTTATAATAGATAAGATATTACTATTATCAATAAATTATGTTTATACATATTTTTTATTTTAATTAATTGTTCATTTATTTTATCATTTTTTAGCTAAATAATGTTAATTATAGGCATTTTGCAATGATTATTATAAATCTAATGATGTTCTATTCTACATAATTATTTACCGAACACATAATTTTATGCAAAAATTGCCAAAAGTACTTTTTATGATATTATTTATTCAATAATTTAATAAATTTCAAAACAAAAAATTAATGCATTTAATCATGCCTGCTAGTTATACTAAATTTATTACTATTGATGTTAGTTTAAACAAATTGAAATTTGCATCGCTAATAATTTATTGGCAGTAGAAATTACCTCAAGATAACTTTTAGGTAAACGTAGAAGATGTGGTATGAGTAATGTTAATCCACCATCATCATAAAGCCACCATACATCTATTCGGCCTTTTCTGATCCGTTGATGAAATATGTTCACTTCAAATTTTAATTTCTCTTGCTTTTCCATTATATTTGCTAATCTATGCAATTGAAGGTGCAATTTTATTTTGTTTCCTTTTATTTTTTTTTATTTCCTTTTTTATATTTTTTAGCAAAAAACATAAATTAGTGAAGTATATTTATCATTTATAAGTAAATTTATAAAATTGTTAAATTTTACAATATGCGTTCTTTTTTTTCTTTTTAAATTCCTGACGTGAAATGACAAAAAAAATTTTTTTTTACTATTAACAATGAACTAAAGAAATTTGCATACTGTACTTCTGTCTACTGTATTGTCTACTGTATTTGCCCCTGTCTACTGTATCGTATTTCAGTATTACTGTAGTACAATCATGCATTTAATATTTTTAGATTACACTTCTGTAATATTATTTTTTCAGTGCTGTTTGTAAAATTTTATCAACTGCTATTTACTCCTATTTTTGTAATATTTTTATAATATAAAACTGTTACTATCGTACTCGTTTACAGTGTCACTTACAGTATGACAAAGATTAAATATCGTAAGAAACTCTTCTTGTTGATGTCATTTGGATGCTATCACCACTAATATTTATTGTCTATGAAAATCAAGTGATTATCAAGAGAAATAGCTTCATTTTTGATTTAAATAATCGGAAAAACAGACCCAATCTTAATTAAACATTAAATTATTTCAATTTATTTTTAATGAATTGCTCAGTTTGTGCTGTTTTACAAAAATTTTTATTTAGCTCTTCTTTCATTTCTATAGTCTATCTTACAAGGATTGTAAATTCAAAGGAAGTATTTTTTTAAAACAATTTTCTTTGTTGTTGTTATTAATGATTTAAAGATAATGATTTTCAACTTATATTTTGAATTTTTTTGAAATAATTTAATGTTAACTAAATTTGAAAGCATTAATATAGTTTAAATATTTTAATATTACTTAAATATTTTCTAATACACTAAATAATTTAAGCTTACCTTTTTCCTGATTAGTAGAAATTTCAGCTGAATTATCCACACTATAACATACAGATGATAATCGAGATGGTGTTGAACACAAATTATGTGACAACTTTCTTTTACCCAGTTCATTGCATTTGTAAAATCTATGCAATAGATTTGATAAAATTTATAAAATTAAACTTTTGAAGCAAAGCTGAAAAATTCCTATATAATCATATTTAAAGTATTTCTAAAGTAATTTCTTAGTTTACATTTCTAAATCATATTTTATGACGACGAAAATGTTTTGAAATGAATTAGTAACCTAAGTAATTCCATCCCAGAAAATAATTAAATAATTTTATCAAAATTATTAGTTTAAGGTAATAAAACAAAATTAACAATTTTTTCATGGGATGATGCGAATGTTGTTTGAATGAAGGTGATTTTATTGATGAAATATTAGTAAGATTTAAATCAGCACGCATTTCTCGAGTATCAAAACCATTCGTACTATTTGATAAAATTCCAACAGCAAAATTATTCTCAAATGCATCTCTAAAATTAAAATTTTTTATAATTTTAAAAAATTTGTAGATTTATTTTTTGTTTTTTTAATTATTTTTTTTTTTAAAAACAAAAAACAAAATACTGCGGGGTAAAATTAAATTTAACAAAATAAATTAATCACTTTTACTTTCATTAATGTATTTCAGAAATATTCTAACCTAATAATACCAACATAATTTTCAATTTCTGATAAACCATCTTTTCCATTTTCAAACCATTTATTTCGAAAACCAAGCATAACAATATTTGGGCGTAAACGTCCAATACCAGCAAGTTGCAAAAGACATTGAGCGCCGATTCGCATATTGCAATTCAAAAATGGTAAATAAAATGCTTTCAATTTGTTACTATTGAACCAATCAGTGATTTCTTTATCCAATTGATGAATTAGATGAAATGTATATTCATTTCGCTCATGCTAAAAATTGTTAATTGCAAATGTGAAGAAGAAATTATACAATTAAATTTGATTAAATTAGGAAAATTTTAGATATAAAAACAAAAAAAAATTGAAAGAATAAAAATATTTAATGAATAAACAAATAAACAAATAATTATCAAATAAATTTGTATACCTGAATGATATGTCCAGCAATTAGCAAACTTTCACCTTTTGTAATACATGAAGCAAAATGAAGAAGTAATGGTCGAAATATTGGATTACCAATTATAAGTAAAATTTGTGGACGATAATTTTTCGTATGTTCAACATCATTTGATAATTTTAACAAAATATTTAATGCAATACGATAACGTACCGCAGCTGTTGACGGTCCCCAATTAACATCTATTTATAAATGATATGATAAATTTGTTAATTTTAAATAAAAAATTTGATGATACTAAAATTAAAATAATTATTGTGTTTTCGATTTAAATTAACTGCAAACTACCAAAATAACTCTAATCACAAACAAATAAAAATTTGCTCTGATTTATTAGTGTAATTTATTGAAATAAATTATTAATAAGTTCAAAATGGAATTGTTTCCCAAATATTTTTCCAAAATAAAAATAGAAAAGCGTAAAAGATAAAATATTGAATTATGAATAGCAAGTTATTACTAACCAAAATAGATGCGTCAATTTTTTTCTCTTTAATTTTGCTATTTTTTCATAAAAAGTTTTCAAGAATTTCAAAATATTCAACTTTTTGAAACAAATTCTAAAATTTCATGTCCTTACTCAATTTGTTGTTATTGCAGTTGCTATTATTATTATTTTCAACTATCATTATTTTTTTTTATTATCATTATTATTGTTGTCATTATCATTTCAATATTTATTATTACTATTGTTAAATCTAAATGCAGTAATGTTTGGATAAAGCCAAACTGTTTGCAAAAAAGGAAAAAAAAAAAGAGAATTTTTGTTTACTCTCATACCGAGGTGTCGTTTTGATAAATAAACAAAAATCATAAAAAAGAAGGCAAATATGAGAAGCGCAAATGACCATGAAATAATAAACATAACGATAATACAAATACTTGCGCCAACTAATGATAACCACATATTGTAGAAACGAAACGATGGTCGAAAACCTATAATAAACAAAAAAAAAATATATTCATTTACCAAAATAACTTTTATTTATTTATCAATAATATGCGTATTTTTGATAAATAAAAATCAATCAATAAGCCATATACTTTTTTTTTGAAATTATGTTTTTTTTTTTTTTTTTTTTTTTTTTTTTTTTTTTTTTATTATTTATTTTTTGAAAAACTGAAAGATTTAAACCAGGTGATTTAGCAAATGATGCATCGAAACATGCATAATTAACGGATGCATATGCTGCTAAGAATAAATTTGACACAAAACCATTTATAATGTTAAGATCACCTGAAATTTTCATATTAATTTGAAATTATTAGATTTAAATGTTAAAATAAAAACTTTGAAATATTGATTTAAGATTGTTAAATTTGAAAAACATAAAAAATACGATGCAGCAAAAGATTATCCAATTTACAGTACTTCTTCTGTCAAAAAAAAAAAATATTTTTGTAAACAAAACAATTAGATATGCTTTTAAGTTGTGGTTATTATAATGAATTAAATTTTTTTGTGTGTTCCTAATAAATAACAAAAGAGGAAATTTTGTTTTTGTGAAATTTGCATCGAGTTAACTAATTTTTTTCAAAATAAAAAAATAAAATAAAAGTTCCATTCAATGTGACAAAATTTTGTCTTAGAAAATTTTCTCTTTCCTTCTCTCTCTCTCTCTCTTTCTCTCTCTGTCTCAGAAATTTTTATTGAAAAATTTTCAAAATGTTTAATTTTAGGCTAACAAATCTCAATGATTAATTGGAAATTTTGAATGAATTAAATTAATTTATTTGATAATAAAATAAGATGAAAACTTACCAATGAGAATAACAGACATTGTAAGAATGGAAAAGAGTATGTATGCTCGTTGTGGAATATTTAAATCGTATTCTTTAGAAAAATAACGAAATAATGGAAATAATTCATCTTTACACATTGCCTAAACAAAATAAAATTATAAGAATTTAATTTTAATATTCTGAAATTTTACTTTAAAATTAACCTTAATTACCCTGAAACTGTAACAATTTAACTTGAGTTATCTTATTATTTTTTTCTTTTTAGTTTTCTTAGATTTTCAAGAATTTAATTGATGTTATCCTTTATAATATAATTATATAATTAATAGAAACAAAAAATATTTCTAAAAAAAAAAAAAAAAGCGTCGGAAAAACTATTATCTATTTCAATGAAAATATTTCAGCAAAAATTGCTGACAAAAGAAAAAAAAAAAAAAAAAGTTTTATCTGTCAGTTTTATCTGAAAAATGATAATAATTAAAAAAGAAAAAACTTTATTATTGTCATTGTTCGTTTCTATTATTTTTATTTTAAGTTCATCGTAATAATTTTTGGAGATAATTATACAAATTTGATTGTTATTAAAACAAGCAAAAAAAAAAATGTCAGTTGTGATATGATAAAAACTATTTCTATACTAATTAATTTAAATAACACCAGCTTATAACAATGTTAATTGTCTCGAAAAACAATTCCCGAAATGTGTGCATAAGCTAAAAAACATTTAAGTCGATATGTGACAAATATTTTTTGCCAATCTTAGCAAAAATTTTTCTCTATCAATTTAAAAAATTAAAAAAATAAATCAATTTTAAATTATATTATCGATTACCTGAAATATTTGTGGACCATTGTCTAAATTTGTCATTGTAGAGCTAAGTGACATAGCAAAAATGCCAGCGATTAATAATGGACTCCAAGCAGATTCAAGTTTTGCTACCTAAACTTAATTTATCAAAAAAAAAAAAAAAAATTCCAATTTAAATTTAGCCTAATTTAATTAAAATTTTTGTTTTGGTTAAATGTGCATTAAAAACTCTAGATTTAATTCTGATATTATCAATTACTAATGTTGTGCTAATGTTATAAATTTTCACTCAATCAAACTAATTAATTTAAATAATTTAACTTGAATATATATATATATATATATATATGTATATTTAGTATTTCATTCTAACTATATTATATTTGTCATTGTAAAATTTTTAAATCATGTCTTTCCATTTGTTTACTTATTTTTTTCTTCACTTTGTTCTTGCTTATTTATTTTAATTAAACGTTTTTTTTTTTTTTTTCTTTAAATTAAATTAATTAAGCATACTTGGAAAAAATTCATTAAACCGTAATTGCATGTATGATTCATTGCACATGGAAATGGTTCCCAATTAAATGTTACATTATTAAATTCCGGTATTATATCACCGGGAACATCACGAAGCATTGTAGCTGCCGGAATGAATATACAAATTAAATTATACAAGATACAAACGCCAATTGCTGAGAACATTCCAACCGGTACGTCATATGCTTGATCCTGTTGTATGAAGGATGAATAATTTATCGATCTATTTAAAATGTAAAAAAAAAAAAAAAAAAATATTACTATTTATTACAATAGATTAATTAATTAATTAACATACTTTAAGTTCATTAATAAACATTGATCCAGCCATAAGTCCGGTCATACCCGGAAAGAAAACGGCATATACAGAAATGAAATTTTCATCACGCCAAGCTGGATATAAATTTTCTGATATTGTTGCTACTGAAATAAAATATCAATTCTTCTATCTTGTTTTCAAAAAAAAAAAAAATTAATTTCATAATTTTATTAAAAAAAAAAATGTCCGTTTTCAAACTATCATTTTTTTGTTCATTGAATCATTGAGTATTGCCTCATTATTTCGTAAATAAATAATTTTTATTTTTGTAAATTTTAATTAATTTGCCTGAATTTTTTTGATTTTATTTTAATTACTTTAAAAAAGATTTTAAAATAAATATTTATAAGATAATTACTAACTATTATAACCCGTCATTCCACGTAATTTTTGTTCATCATTTGGTGATAACAATAATGATCCAAAGCACCAATCAAGAAATGATAAATGGTAGAGAGAAAACATAAATAGTGTAGCTGTGTCTTCAATTTTTGGCCCAGCAAATGTTATTAGCATCAGAATCAAACAAATTACTGTAAAATTTTGATTAAAAAAAATTTTTCTTATGAGATGATACTTCATTTACATTATTATGAAGAAAAAAATCAGTTCAGAAGTGATTTTTTTTTAAACTAAGTAATAATATTATTTAAATTTTTTAAGTAATAATAGTAATTTTAATTTAATTCTTTTGAATTGTCGCAAAAGTTTAAAAAAAAAAATCAAAAATTAAACTTTTAATTTTGATGAAACTCATAACAATTTTTATTAACATGTGAAGAATTAAGATTGTAGCAAAATGTTATTTTGCATGTAAAATATTAAATTGTCTAACTGACCGACACCAAAAAGACGAACATCATTGATTTTGGAATTAGTCAAAGTGCTAAAACCATTTTCATTCATCAAATCAACAATCGTTTCTGCTGCACTTACAACATATAATGATGCCATCATTGCATTTGCAATTGAAAAAATTGCTCCAATACTTCCACCAAATTCTGGACCCAATGATCTGAAATGAAATTTAAAATATTTTAATAATACATTAACAAATTTCAATAATTTCAAATAAATATCAAATAATTTTTATGAATTTTTAAATTTTCAAATAAAGAAAACATTGTAAAATTCTGATCAATTTAACATACATTTTTATTATGTAAGTTTGCTGATTTAGTAATATATCCATACGCCATTATTAGTTTTTCAAGTATAACTCAAACGAAAAAATGGGTGTACGATATAGGAATTATCTATACGGTACATAAAGTAAGCGTACGGTAGAGATGACGGGTATACGGTTTGTATATGATACACGACACGTACATACGTACAGGAGATGTTTTACGATCATTTTTATAGTCAGTAATACTTAATATCTAAATATACCTTGATATCACATAATATAAACCACCTTTCTTACATTCACCGTTCGAACAAATACCACTTATTGATATTGCTGTAACAATACATACCAATGCTGACAGTAAGACAATCGCTGTGCCACCTACTGTAAATTAATTAAAATTTTATAAAAAAAAAAAAAACAACAAAAAAAAGTTGTTTATCAAAAATTAATAGAAACTGAAAAGTATGTAAGCAAGAAGTAAGAAAAAAAATGCAAAAAAAAAAAGAAAATTAAAATAAAAAGCATACAAAGACCAGCTTGACCAGCAATCCAACTATTTCGTAAATATAACAATGAACCAACAATGTTTGTAAATACCGGAATAAAAACACCCGGAAAAAATAAATGAATTTTAATTATTAATTATTATTAGAGTCAAAGAAGTCATTATTATTTGCTATATGAATTTTTGTAAGGATAAAAAGTAATATTAGTGTAAAGTAATTTGAATTAATATTAGCAATTAATCCATCTTAATATTTGAGCTTATTAAACAAAATTATTTTAATCAACAATGAAATTATATTTCTAACAGATCGCAACACTCTCAATGATAATTCACTCCATGATTTACTCTCTTAAAATTTTTTTACATTTCTGCATTTGAATTATAGTAATTTAATCATCTTATTTAGTGCTTTAGTTTCACTTTTTTTTTTTTAATTTCTTATGAGATGATATAATTCTTGAAGCTTAAGTGAGTTCAATATTTGAACTCGTAGCGTTAATTTATTTTAATACATTTTAAATTACTCTTGGGATTAAATTATCTTAAACCCGTGGGAATAAATTGTTATATTAAATTGGAAAGATAATCGCTGCAATGTAATCCAAAAGACTTTTGTTTACTTAACTTCATAATTAAAATCCGAAATGCAAAGATGAATAGCAAAATGTACATGTATTCACCTGGAAAAAATTTTTTTTTGATTTTGATGATGAAAATTCAGAATTGTCTGATTGGATTGCATTTATATGATGATGCATTGATCCTTGAACATTTTGCATTTCCAATTGCTAAAATTTTATTCAATAAAAATTTTGCCATCATCATTTTATTTCTGTGTTATTTCTATACAACTGCTTGTATTTGATATATTTTTTTAATAATAGTAATTGCTAATTTGTTGAAAAGAAATTAGTTAAATGTAATTTGTAACTTATTCATCTATAAAATTCCTTTTTTTTTTTTTTTTTGTATATTTTATAAAAATTTTCAACAAAAGAATTGAAGATTTCAGATAAAAAATAATTAACAATTCCTGAATGTGTATGTTTACTCGTTTACAATATTACATTATTTTACCTAACGTTTCTCTCACTTTTTTTTTTTTTTTTTTTTTCAAAATTTACTTGATAAAATTTCGTTATTAAGCACAAAAATAAACAATATCAAATTTCAAAAAATTTAAACAAATCATTCTGCTAATTTTGTTTTCTCGTCTTTCTCTTCACAAATTCAAACTTACAGCAATTTTATTTTTGCATAGTTTTTTAAGCAAAAATTTTTAATTAATAATATATTAAAAAGAAAAGTAAAAAAAAAAAAAAAAAAAGAGTAATGCATACCTTTTCGGTGAAAGTAAGTTCTAGAGCGCCGTGCATCAAATCAACAACCGTTACTCGAGATGGTAAATTTGAGTTTTTTCTCGAATATAATGGTAAGCGATAATTTTCAATCGATGGTATTCGTTCTATCGTCATTTCCGACTCATTATGTAAACTTAAAATTTGAGAGGTCATCATGAATTAGAACAATAAATTTAATTAATATTTCATATTCATAACGATTGAAAATTTGATTACTGTAAAAATTCTAAGTACAATAAATATTCTATCTAATGATAACTAATTAATTCTAATTTTTATGTGCTAAAATAGGTAATAAATTTGTGTTATTAAATATTACAAAAAATTAAAAGCGATGCATTTCAATTATTATGAATCACATATTTTGCAGGTAAGAAATTTAATTAGCAAAATTGCTATTACCTTGGATAATCAGGTATTGCTTGTTCATCATCATCTTGTTTATTAGAAGTACAAATGGGATCAAATAATGTAAATAAAATCTATAATTTACATTACTCATTAAAAATTTAAAATAAGTTTTTCCTCTTTTTTTTTTGAAAAAAACTATACTTAAATTAAGGAATCTAAGTAAAATTTATTAATCAACGATTAAAATCCATAAATTGATAGGAGTGAAAAAAAAAAAAAAAAACGGAACAATTACTGATAATAATTTATTTACCAACGTATTAACTAATATTTGTTTGTTTGTTTGTTTTTTTTTTTTTTTTTTTTTTTTTTTTTTGAAGCCATGCAAACATATATGCATGTAAACAAACCTGTTTCTTTTCTGCTTCCATATTTATGTCAATTTTTTGTACTGCAACCATTTGCAGAAATAATTTCCATATATTCCGGAAATGTTCCAATGATTTACAATTTATTCATGAATAATTGGTTCGATAATAAATTTATATGCCAATTTGCCTCGTTTCATTTTTCAATCATTTTGCTTCTATTTTATTCATTGTTTCATTAAATATATATATTTTTTTCATTTTTAAATAAAAATTAAATAATGGATGAAAAAAAAAATGGAATAATATTGAAATTTCATTACAAATATAATATATTAATGCCTCCTCACATGTTATAATTTTAAATTTAAAAAACAACAAACACTGAATTAATTTATGAAAATGGAAAAAAAAAAATTTTTTTTCCTATTATTTTCATTGATATAAACTAATTTTAAAAATTTATTTACTTTTGAAAAGATAAATTTTTGCGAATTTCATTTGCACATGTTTGTTATCATTTTCACATGACATTTTTCAATTTCACATGACATTCCCTCTCTCTCTCTCTCTCTTTTTTTTTTATCATCATTGTTTTCCAAACATACATACATAAATCATTATTACCAATCAGATGATGGATAAATAAAGTGATATATGAGAAAATTTTTTTTTAAAAAAGCAGATGAAATTTTAAATGATAACCGGAAATTAGTTAATTATTGCTATTTATAACAAAAAAAAAAATTTTCAATACTCAATCAATTAAGAACAAAAAGAAAAAGCGAAAATTTTTGTTTACATTCTTTAACTTTCGATAAATCGATTCAATGTTATTAAAAAAAACAAAATTTTTGTTGTTCCAAAAATGATTGTAATGGCATGAATGCACTGATAAGAAAAACAATGAAAACGAATAAACATTGAATCACACGTGACGTTTAATTTTCAAACGTATCTTGAATAATTTTATTTTATATGTATGTAGTGTTTTACTATTATAATAATACATTAAAATGAATTATAATTATTGTTATTAATAATAATAATAATATTATTATTATTATTACTGTCTTCATTTTTATTTTTATTTTAGTATTATTAATTATTATTTCTAAGTTTAATGCCATAAAACTCAAAAGGAAATATTTCTTTCTTGAAATTATTAAATTTCATTAAATGTAAATTACTAAAAACATTTATCGATCATACATATAAAGGCGAATTTGATGATAAAATTCAAAAATAGAAGCTATTTAGCAATTATTATGAATCAATTTTTCCTTTTTTCCTTTTTTTTTTTCATATACATTTTGAAAGAGAAAAAAGAAATTGCAGAAAAAGTATTAAAAGAGATAATCTAGGATTTGAATTTTTCAAAAAAAAAAAAAATTCATTTCTTCTCTAATCATTATGTACAAATTAATTATTATGGCTTACATTAGTTAGGTTTAGGCCTAATTTAACTGATTTACTGGAAAAAAAAACAAATAAATTTTAGTACAATTCATTGCTATAATTTTAATTTAACTTGTTATTATTACTATTATTTCTTTCATTGTAAAATCTAAATTAAAATGTATATTTTAATTTAAATGTATATTATGTATTTCAATTCAGATATGTTAATTTATAAAAATAAATTTATCTATTTGTTCCAAATGCATGCAAAAAAATAAGAAGAATAGAAGACATTAAGATGAAAATATGAAAAATTATTGTAATAAATCTATTTTTACATATTATCATAATTAATTATCGATTACATAGAATTCATAATCAGTGCATTTAGTGATAACAATTAATGATATATTTAATCTTAATTAATTAATAATATATATACGATCAAAAAAAAAAAAAAAAAAGAACACATATTATTATCTTATCAAACGCATACAATAATAAATTTTAAATTAACTTTTTGCTTAAATATTATGCATAAAGGATAAAAAAAAATTTTGAAAAAAAATAAAAAAAAAAAACTTATAACTTAAATGTTAATTAAATGATTGAATTGACAAATGACAAAGAGTAAAATGAAATTATAAGACGAATTAAAGTTAAGACCGCCTGCTGCTTAAAATTTTCATTTCTTTTGTCTCTCTCCCTCTCTCTCTCTCTCTTTTCCCCTCCTTTGTTTTCTTTTTTTTTTTTTTTTTTGCTTTTGCTTTTGTTTTTTGTTTTTTAAATCTTTTACTTCTTACTGTAAGCTATTTTCCTTATCAAATAACTTTTTATTTATTGATATATATTTTTATACATGTGTATGCATTACTAATGATAATAATTAATTTTGAAATACAAATATGTTTATGAATATTTGTATGTGTGTGTATGTTGTATGTGTATTTGTGAATGTCGTATGTATGTATGTGTGTTTATATGTACGCATAAATCATAGGTTATCGAACTTTTAATCAGCCAAGATAACAAGAATTCCAATCGAACTATTTTATTTATTTCAAATTCCACACTGATAACAATAACATTCACTAAGCAAATAAACGTAAACAATTTAGCAATGATAATAATAATAATTAATAATGATAATAATAATAATAAATAATATTTGTTAAGGAAATAAAATATACAATTCTGTAATGGTAATAACAACGATAATAATAGCATTTACCCAACAAATAAACATGCACAATTGAATATTTTACTATTGTTATGCTAATAATATTTGCCAGACAAATAAGCATTGCTAATAAAATGAATTAAATACAATTTCAACTGATACTATGTGCCCTTTTTTTTTTTCAATCTTTTTCTGAGTACTTTTCATTGAAACAATTATAAAATCCTTTCTTCTTCAATTGTTACTTTTAAATCAAATATTTTGCTCGCATTTGATAATATTATAATTTAGCTTAAAATTTAATAATTTTGAAAGATTTCAAATAATCCTATGTGAATATTTAACAATGTCATTTAAATTTTCACTTTTTTTTGTTAAAAAAGTTTATCAAAAAATAAACAAAAAATAGCAATTAATTATTATATTTTAATTAATATATAAATAAGTAAATTATTCAATTATACAATATATCTTTTATTAATAATATTCAAAAAAAGGAAATTGTCAAGAAGTAAAATATTATTATATAATTTAGTAATATTACAATTAAACATTTTCCCTTTCCCTTATTTTTCCCCATAAATATTTCAAAATTTATTAAATTTATGTTTATCTAAAAGTATTAATCATTCATTTATATGTATATATCACATATCATTACACTCTATTTGTCATAGTACAAAGTGAGCAATGAATCATACACAAATGTAAGTATTATCTCTATGCAATTTCAGATGAACCCAATGACCATTGTCCAACGGTCATTGCCATATTCATATATTAATGATGACCATTATTATTATTATTATTATCATTGTCATTATTATTATCACTATTTTTATTATTTACTCTTATTATTATCATTATTTTTATTTACTATTACTGTTATTATTATTATTATTATTTATCATTATTATTTACTATTATTATTATTTATTATTATTATTACTTATTATAATTATTTACTATTATTATTATTATTACTTATTATTATTTATTATTATATTTACTATTATTATTATTTTTTATTATTATTGTTATTATTATCAATTATTATTATTACTTACTATTATTATTATTTTATTATTATTAATTATTATTATTATTATTATTACTACTATTTATTATTATTACGGCAAATATTATTATTTATTATTATTATAATTATTATTATTGTGATTATTATGATGATGACGAATGATACTATCACATAACAGTCAGAAGGAATGCATTAAATGATAGCTATCAGTTTTATCGATTAATTTAATGTCATTTATAACATTTTTCTCCTCTCTTTCTTATCACTCTCGAAAAATATTATCAATAAACATTTTGATTACGGTATTACAGGTATATAAATACATACCTGTAAATTATCTAACAGTTTATCTATGTACATCAATCAATTCATCTCATTGATTGCATCACCTAATATTGCATTAATAATTAATTTAAATACTAAAATATTGTTCGATCTATTTCAGATCAATCAATACTGTTCATATATATATCTTAGATTATCACTTATCTATTAAATCTCTCCGTCTTTTCACCTCCCTTCACATCCTAATTATCTATCATCCTTTCTTTATTTCTTTTTCCCTCCCTCTCTCTTCCTCTCCCTCTTTCATGTTGTAACGTATGTGTATGTGTGTGTGTGTATGCATGTATGTGTGTATGTGTATGTGTATGTGTGTCGGTAACTCTGTATGTTTGTACATTAATAATTCTTTCCTTCCCTTCCCTATTCCCTATCTTATACGTTTTTTTTCTTTTTTTTTTCACAATCATCAAACATTTTATGCATTCCTGGTGTTCCTTTATAGCTTGCTTTTAAATATTAGACGTGACATGACGTGACTTACGTGACCTGTATGTAGATATGTATATATGTATTTTTCTACAAAAAAAAAAAAAAGTCTAATTGTTGTGATACAATAATTTTTTCATACGTTTTGCGCGCGGTAAAAATGAAAATAAATAAACCAAAAATTAAATTAGCTTTTAAAATTGATGAAAAATTTTCAAATAATTTTTCTATTTGCTTTTTTTTTTTAAAAAAAAAATTTTTAAAAACTTTAACTGTTTTTTTTTCCTTTTGATACTATAAAAGAATAATAAATATTCATAATCTATTTTTTATAAGTTATCAATTAAAAATTATTGCATTAGCTAATTTATAGAAATATTTGCTCCGATTGAATTGATAATGCAATTTAATTTAATTTCATCAATCTTTTTCTTTTCTTCTTTATCATTATTCTTTCTATATACTTTCTCATTTCTTCTTTTTTTTCTTCTTTTATCATTTACACATTTATCAATTTTCCCTCTCTCTCTCTCTCTCTCCTTCTCTCTCCCTCTCTCTCTTTTTTTATTCATTTTATTTGCTCAATATATCTGTCATGTGTTTGATTTATTTCACTAATATATAAATATATAAAAAAAAAAAAGGTGCGATACGATTTTATGATAATATTAAATGTTATTTAAAGCTTAACGAAATCTTTTC